TAGTAGTTGAGTCGAATCTTTGTAATAATGCTATTACCAGTCAATTTATGAGGAAGAAAGAAGAAGTGGAAGAGGGAGAATAGGGAACAGATATATGTAGGTAAATACAGGATAAGTTGTAAGGCTCTGCTCCCCTTGTTCAAGTAATTCACGAAATATGCTTTAGGAATCTGAGAGTCCGTACGCAATTGCGTTAATAACCTGAGATGATGAATATAGAGTTCAGAAGCTTAAAACCATGTCTTCCTTTTGGTAGAAGACTTTGATTTTTATTTACAACATTGTTGATTTCCTTCTGCCTCATATTTGTTTTTTACCATATCATTTCTGAGCTATTAAGCCACTAGTGTGTATGAAATTTGGATCTTCACTATAACAAGGGTTCTTCTGATGGTTTGCTTATGAGAGAAGACATGCTCAGTCGAGAAATACTTGGGTAAAGGTATCATTGGTTCGTGCTAGTAAACTTTCTTACTATTAAGTCTTAGTTGGGAACGGTATTAGTTTTGTTGCTCTTTTGCCCGATCATTTTGTGTTGCCATACGGTATCATTGGTTCGTGCTAGTAAACTTTCTTACTATTAAGTCTTAGTTGGCAACGGTATTAGTTTTGTTGCTCTTTTGCCCGATCATTTTGTGTTGCCATATATCTGTTCATGTGTTAAGAATTTTCTGCCTGGCATTTACAGTTTGTGACAAGTACCCCCCGCACCCTCCCCCCTCCCTCCCTCTTTCTTTGCTTTTCCAATATGTGCAGCATATAGGTGATTTTAATTTTCCAAGGTTAGCAGATTTTGGAGCTGCAATATCTGGTGCAAACAAATTGCAATGCCAACAAGTGCTTGAAGAGCTAGATGTAAGTATCATTGAACACGTCTCAATATGGTTATTGGTCTTGAAGTGTTTAATTTTATTTTGGCTTCTCTTTGGAAGAAAAAATAGTATTATATGTTATGATAGAACTGAATTTTAAGACCTTTTTCTCTCTGGTATCATTTGGTGCTTTTGTAACTGAAATTTCAGGTGTATAAGCGTTTAAAGCTCACACTGGAATTAGTGAAGAAAGAAATTGAAATAACCAAGATTCAGGTATTTGATGCCATTGTTTAAATTTATATATTCATTAATCTTCACCATTCTTTGATCCTTATTTGAACTTTTCTTCCTGGATTTTTAATTTTTTATTTAGGAATCCATTGCAAAAGCAATTGAAGAAAAGATAAGTGGTGAACAACGGCGCTACTTATTGAATGAGCAACTAAAGGCAATAAAGAAGGTCTTTCGCTTTACTGTATTTACAATTATTTATGATGGCTTGCCCTGCAATCGATGTTCTTTTCAGGCAATTTGTATTTCCCGACAAGAAATTGATCCATGTTGCCTTTCTTGTGTAGGAATTGGGATTGGAGACTGATGATAAGACAGCACTATCTGGTTAGTCTGCTACAATTTTATATTTTTGTGATTATATAGTTCTAGGTTTCTTCCTCTTCTGTTCGCGTGGTATCTGCATAGTTGGTACAATTCCAAAGCGTTTTTGAAAGCTAGAACTGCCACGTCAAGAATCAAAATTTATAACCATTTCTTATTAGTTGCTCCTACAAACTTGATATCCATTAATCATTATGTTTGAGCGAAAAGTCTTTTCGCTTCTTTAAACATTTGTTAGTGATAGGATTTCTGGAGAAAGCAAAATAGTGTTGTTCTTTTTAGGCTTTAGCATTTAAGTTGACAATGGTCCAAAAGTTGCACATACTATGCTGCAGCGAAGTTTAGGGAAAGGCTTGAACCAAACAGGGATAAATGCCCACCCCATGTTTTGCAAGTTATAGAGGAAGAGCTTACAAAACTGCAGCTATTAGAGGCAAGTTCAAGTGAATTTAATGTAACTCGCAACTATTTGGATTGGTTGACCGCACTGCCTTGGGGAAATTACAGGTTTGAATCTTATATAACTAACCATTGGTTCTGTTAGATGATCTCTATCGTTTCAATTGTGTTATGTTTGCTGCTATACCAAGGCTGGTGAAAAAGTGTGACAATTTTAAAACTGTATTTAAATGGCCGTTTCTATTCTTTTTTAGCAGTTTCCATTTCCTGTGATTTATTTTCTTTTTGATTACAGTGATGAGAACTTTGATGTTCTTCGGGCACAAAAGATTCTTGATGAAGATCATTATGGATTAACTGATGTAAAGGAAAGGATATTGGAATTTATTGCGGTTGGAAAACTTAGAGGAACCTCACAAGGTTGGTGTCGTTTTCTTATTTATTTTCTTGGGCTATGCACCAACATGTTATGAATTGGGCCTTTTTTCCTTCAATTGATCTTTGCTGGCAATTCATATTGGTTTTATGCTGCGCCAATCGCAGGAAAAATCATCTGTCTCTCTGGTCCACCTGGAGTGGGTAAAACCAGCATTGGTCGTTCAATTGCACGTGCCTTGAACCGTAAGTTCTTCCGTTTTTCCGTTGGAGGCTTAGCTGATGTCGCTGAAATTAAGGTAGCTAAACCTCTTTATACCGAGTAATAATAATATATGCATCTCTACATTAATATAATTGCATTGCTATGTCTTATGTCTTTAACCCCCAAAATTGCCTCCAGGGGCATCGTCGAACCTATATCGGTGCTATGCCAGGGAAGATGGTTCAATGCCTTAAAAATGTGGGAACAGCTAACCCTCTTGTTTTGATTGATGAGATTGACAAGGTAATTTCGGCCATTTTCCTTGGTTGATATATGTTTTGAGTCGCATCATTTACTGTTGACCTGTTATTTATTCCATATTGATAGCAATTGCCAGTTGATTTAGGTTTGTTATAGTGTACTTATACATAAAAATGATGATTTTTAATTAAGGTTTTTCTATTATTCTAAGAATGCTGTTACCTTTCGATGGCAGTTGGGAAGGGGACATGCTGGTGATCCAGCAAGTGCCTTGTTAGAGCTTCTTGATCCAGAGCAGAATGCAAATTTTCTAGACCACTACATTGACGTTCCAATTGATCTATCAAAGGTTAGTTGTAGTGATGATGGGGAGATGTTTTATCTCTGCTTCTTTATTTAATAGTAATTGCCATTGTTTGACTTAAATGACCTTTGTTTATAATATTTATTGCAGGTTCTGTTTGTGTGCACCGCAAATGTTGTGGAGATGATACCAAATCCCCTCCTGGACAGAATGGAGGTCATTGCCATTGCTGGATATATAACTGATGAGAAAATTCATATTGCAAGAGACTACTTGGAGAAGTCCACACGTGAAGCATGTGGCATTAAACCTGAACAGGTTGTTATTCTAACTGGGTATGGGGCGTGCATTTTGCCTTTTTTTTGTTTTTCTGCAATGTGTAATAATCCAAACAACTTAATTCTCAGGTTGAAGTTACCGATGCTGCCCTTCTAGCTCTTATAGAAAATTACTGCCGAGAATCTGGCGTTCGGAATCTCCAAAAACAAATAGAAAAGATATACCGCAAGGTTTGCTTACTCATTTTAGATACGGATCTGTAATTTTTGGTGTGCGATAATGTCATAGTACAGCCGCGTTGTTCAACTTTAAAGTTTAAATACGTTTCTCTACTATTATCTTACGCCTGGGAGCTAGCAAACAGAATCCATTGGTTTTCAAAGTTTATTGAATGGCTAAATGTGTCAGGTTGATCTGCAATTTTTGGTGTGCGATAATGTCATAGTACAGCCGCGTTGTTCAACTTTAAAGTTTAAATACGTTTCTCTACTATTATCTTACGCCAGGGAGCTAACAGACAGAATCCATTGGTTTTCAAAGTTTATTGAATGGCTAAATGTGTCAGGTTTACTAAACAAGAACTTTTATTGTGGCCTGACAGATAGCTCTGAAACTTGTTAGACAAGGAGTATGCGGTGAAAATGCAGTTGCTGAAACTGATAAAGCAGAAGTAAAACATGGGGATGAATTGGTTCAAAATAATGATGCTAACAAGAATCAGAGCGTTGTTGAATCAGCTGAGGCCGAGAGCCATGAACAAAAAATTGAATCTTCCACAGAAACTGAGACAGTTGAGGTGAACCTTCCAGCTGATCAATCAGCAGACTCTGTAGAAATTTTTAAATGCAGAATAGAATTCAAAATAATTCCACACATTTCTTTCACTATGAACTTAGTTGCTTATTCACATGGGAAGAAACATAAATATTGGAAACTATATATGGGATTGAGTACCTTAAGAATAGACCATTAAAGAAACATTAAAGCAGGAGGCCACGTGGCGTAGTCCTTTTGAATTTGATTTGATTAATTCAAGTCTTTTAACATGATATTTTGTTTTTTGTTTTTTCTTGTTTATCTTTTCTACAGGATGCAAAAGAAACCGAAAATATTAAGGAAGGAGAAGCAACACAGACAGTTGAGAAAGTGTTGGTTGACGAATCAAATCTAGCAGATTTTGTTGGCAAACCTGTTTTCCACGCAGAACGCATCTTCGATCAAACTCCAGTTGGAGTCGTGATGGGTCTTGCTTGGACTGCTATGGGTGGTTCCACACTATACATAGAGACCGCCCAAATTGAGCAAGGGGAAGGGAAAGCAGCCCTGGTTCTGACGGGTCAACTCGGAGATGTCATGAAAGAAAGTGCCCAGATAGCTCACACTGTTGCTCAAGCGATATTGCTTGATAAGGAGCCGGATAACAATTTCTTTGCCACCTCCAAGCTTCACCTCCACGTTCCTGCTGGCGCCACCCCAAAGGATGGGCCGAGCGCTGGTTGCACCATGATCACATCCATGCTGTCACTTGCTATGAAGAAACCCGTCAAGAAGGATCTAGCAATGACCGGAGAAGTAACTCTAACAGGGAGGATTCTTCCGATTGGCGGGG